TATTGAAGCTCAATCATAGGAGCTATTCTTCTGCTATTAGTTTTCTGTTGTAACAAATTGTTTCTGATATGTATTCAAGTATTGGTTTCATTGTAACTGACTTGACCACGTTTTGTGGGATATTTGTTGTACTTGTTTGGGATGTTTATGATCTATATAAACCCCATTCAAGGTGTTTAATATTGAGATTAATTATTCAGCAATTACTCCTCACAAGATCTGTTAGAAATAATAATCACCGTGAAATTAAAAATGATTAAAGCGACTGCAGAGATTTTTAGTGGTTAAATCTCGATATGAAAACCTTGTACACCTCCAAAGCAGGTTTTCACCAAAATGGATAGGGCTACAAGATTTTTCCTTGCGCGTTTCACACACACAAAAGCAGACTGCTTAAAATCCTTTATACAGTAGGAATATTAGGGTCGCCTAATACACTTATGGAATACCCAATTACGTTGATTCATGGTCGAGAGGATAATTGTATATGTATGCTATGATTAGGCTATGCACAACCCGCATAATCCAACAATAGTGAAGAAGTTTACAACTAAGTTGTTTTTCACTATTTAAATCACAAAAAACTCGGGATTACGACAAAATGAAGGGGTGAAATAGTCAAAGGAATAGAATTTGATTAACATTTACCTGGGCATCTGGGTTGAGGAGATGGGTACAACCTACAAAAAGGCAAAGAAGAATTAAAGGAGAAAGCTTCTATTTTTCCATTTCCAAAAAAAAAAAACCCAGAGGTCCATTGTTGCTTTTTTTATATTGCAGATGTACGATATCATAACAAGTAATATAGTGGACCTTTGAGTCAAGATTATCATTCCCACGAGAACCATACTTTAGGTCTTAATCTACTTTTTCTAACTCCTATTTGACAAAAGCAGGTAATATTTATGATGATAGTGATTACTTTGACTAACTACTTTTAACAAATTGAAAATATAAAAAAATTGCAAATAACGGATAATTGGAGATACAAATATGTGATGAATATTAGGACATAACAATTTCATCTATTGATCACCTTTATTTTTAATTCAAGA